CACACACACACACACACACACACACACACACACACACACAACACACACACACACACACACACACACATTACTTATATTAAAGGCAGCATCATATTAAAGGTTCCAGGCCGTGACTCTGATATCCTTTTCTCTCTCCCTGACATTTCTTTACAAATACCAGCCTCTATTCAGTCTGTTATTGCCTTTTCCCATTCAGCAATTCTCTGATTAAACAAGTTCCTGGAAAGCCCAAGCACCGCTATCTGCCATTTGGCTTTTATTAGAAACCCATCCCCTTTAATTAAGTCAGCTGATTTAGAGAAATATCAAAAGATAGTTTGCAAATATATTGAATAAGTGAGTACAATGGGTGAAAAAAAAACGTGGAAGAACAGGCTTTATGAGATGTTTTGAATATGGTTTGTGACTGGAATGAGGTAAACACACTCTTGATGGTGGGGGGGAGGGTGTTTTTTTATTTTTTATTTTTTTAAAGGAAGCTTAGTTTGTTCAGTTTGATTGAGTCCCACCACTGAATGTGAGGCACAGCTGAAACCCCACTCCTTCTTTCCACTCCCAGCTTTATTTCAACACTGCACCTCCAGTGCCATGGCTTTCTCTCATCCCCCCCACTTTCTTTTTTTTATTAATGTGGAAGATGTGGGATTGAGGTTGCTGTGGAAACCAGGCCGGCTTTGATTGGGGGAGACAGCTGCATGGCGCAAGGTTAGGCGGCGGCCGGTCACGACTCACAATGCGCCACTATTGATTTCCAGACAATTACTGGACCCAGTTGAGTACGAGTTGCAGAAAATGTGTTGAGGGTTTGGTGTTATTGTATTTGCAGGGTAAATCTCACTTTGCAGCCAACATACAGAAATTGTCTTGCATTTCTTTTCCACCCACTTAAGAGTATGTGTTTTATCTAAAAACTCTAAGCCGGTGACGAGTTTGACAGCCAACCGCAGAGCCTAATGTTTGCTGCTCTGCACCGTCTCCTTTGAATCATTCTTGATGTGCTGTTTGTGCCAGTTCCTTTTCATCCATTTGAYTTGGTGTCAAACCCTGACAAACTATTGCTCTTTGGAAAGACTTAATAGCTGTGAGTTTATGTTAAAATGTGTATTTGGAGTTCACAAGCGGTATGGTAAAGAAAGGGCTCTTTTGTACACAAATTGCCAGGAATACCTGGTTTTCTTTGGACTTCACTCAGACTTTTTTATTCTTTATTCCCCACCGTCCTCCTTCCCTCACGTTTCCCTCTTCCTCCCCTCAGCCAACTTGGCGTTATCTATGTGAGAATTTGACACTGAGCCTAATTGGACTGTGTGCCTCCATCACTAATAGTCGTCAGTCTTTTTCCGCATGCAGCACATTCTCACATGGAGCTCTTTAGCTAATTAAAAAAAGTCTTTTATTAAACTGCATTAATGTGAATTAAATCTGGGTTGCTGTTGATGTAAATGAGACCCCCACCATCACGTGTAAATCCATTACACATAAACAAACAGCTCATCTGGGTGGCAATATGGACAGCAGAAAAACTGATCCATGCATTTATCAGGTCTAGGCTGGACTACTGTAATTCTTTATTATCTGGGCATCCAAAAAACTCTTTAAGAAGTCTTCAGTTAATCCAAAATGCTGCTMCTAGAGTTTTAATGAGAGTTGGAAGGAGAGATCATATTTCTCCAGTTTTAGCTTCTCTCCACTGGCTCCCTGTCAAATTCAGAATAGAATTTAAAATATTTCTCCTAGCATACAAAGCTCTTAACAACCAAGCTCCATCATATATTAAATATCTTTTTGTTCCATATTTTCCTAACAGAGCCCTTCACTCTCAGACTGCAGGTTTACTTGTGGTTCCTCGAGTTTCTAAAATAATGGGAGGCAGAGCTTTCAGTTATCAAGCTSCTCTCTTGTGGAACTAACTTCCAGTTTCTGTCCGTGAGGCTGACACTTTGTCTACTTTTAAGATTAGACTGAAGACTTTCCTTTTTGATCAATCCTATAGTTAMACTTAGATTTCCTGAGTTATTTTTCATTTCTGCTGCTATAGACTTAGACTGCTGGAGCACAAACAGCACATTTCCTCACTCTGCTGTTGTCTTTAGTCTCTCTTCTCTACATGTTCTCTACAAACCATGCAGAAGGTTTACTTTCTTCACTGAATACTACAAAGCAGGAATTAACAGTTTCTTAATACATTTGTCACTGCTTTGCCCAATTTACCCTAAAAATATTATGACATGTTTAATTTCTCAGTGTACGTGCAGTGAAACTGAAACACAATCCAAAAATCCCAAATTGCAAGTTTGCAGCCTGCCTTCAAAAAAATTGGGATGAAGTGGCTTCACTCACATCAATAATCAAGTGTACATGATCAGACTTTGAAAARATGTTGTCCTCATAAATATCCTCCTTACCAACAATTGCCCTATTATAGACGTTTTATTTATTTCTCTCTGCCAAATAAAGACAAGTATGTCCACGTTGTTGCTGTTCTGTTTTAATTGTGTGACATAAATAACCTCAATTAATTAATACTTAATATTAGCTTCAGCGAGAGAAACTGCCTCCGGTCTCCACTTGTCACAAAACACGAATTACTTGTTTCATCTAGCACCCAAAATAAGAAAAGAAAGGATAGATGAGCTAAATAGAGAGAGCAGGAGCAGCAGGGGCTCTGGAGGTAAACAGCGTGGGACTGAGGGTGGAGCAGTTCATCAGCAACACCGTCACACGAGGGGAGAAGAGGAGCAGTAAAAGCAAAAGCAGGAAGCCGTACGCATCCATGACACGAGCGACAAAAGAGGAAAGCAAGGAAAAGAGGTCAAGGTTGAGAGGGACCCAGAATATCTTCTGGGAGCAGAGYGACTAGCAGGGATGAGGTTGGAAGGAGTCAGAAAGAAAGGTGGGGGAGGAGGAGGATGTAAGATGAGGCTGGTCGAAGCAGCCTAAAGATGATAACTCCCTCGTCTCTGCTTTATTATATTACACTGGTGGATAAAAAGAATTCAGCATCCTCTAAAGTCATTACAGCCAAGTAAGACTGGCTCAGAGGGCAACGTAGCTCCTTAACCCCACTCAGCACATGCCTGGATGTGTGCGGGGGGGTCTCAGGGGCTGATTGAAAGGGGGGGTGCTACATACCCAAAAGCTGGATCATGCCTGRGTATGTGCGTGTGTCACCAAAACAGTGGAGCGTTGCTTAATCCTGCCCTAGTAACTGGGATAAGCCACCAGCTTTATCTTTCCTTCTTTCCTCACTTTTTCCTCTAGAAACCATTGTTCCTTTTCCCATCACACCCGCCYCTTTCCCTCTCCCTCGTCTTATTATTACCCTCATCCTCAGCCCCAGACTTTAATGCCTCATTCTTCTGTATTTAGAGCCTGCAAACTTATTTTGTGCCAGCAGTCGGGGCTAACATGGATTCCATGATTCTTTATTGGAAGGATGTGCACGGGATTTGAGAGCAGCTTTTGGGTAGAAGACGGGTTTTGCTGCCATCGACAATCATGTCACTAGCTTATGGCAAGGTGTGATTTGTGATATGATGCTGCCAAAACTAAACTTAAAGGGAAAATGTGGAGCAGGAAAAAAAACATCTTGTGTGTGATTGAGAGCATGTTCCGTGGACAGTACAATCATAAAACTCAAGAAATACACACAAAAATACTCATTTCTAACATCTCAACAATCAATCTACATCTTATAAAAAATATCTTTTTGTTCCATATTATCCTAACGGAGCACTTTGCTCTTAGACTGCAGGTTTACTTGTGGTTCCTGGAGTTTCTAAGATGGGAGGCTGAGCTTTCAGTTCTTAGGCTCCTTTCTTGTGGAGCCAACTTCTAGTTTCTGTTTGTGACACTGACATGTAACAATATATCAATTCACATCAATTGATACYACTTGGAGGCAGGGTGAACCCAATTGCAGGCAGGCAGGTTTCAAAAATCAAAAAGCACAAGGCCTTTAATGAAAAAACTCAAGGAGGCTGAAATACAGCAAAAACTCACTAAACTTGGAAGTAAACAAAGAACATGAAGCGGCCAGGTAGACAGCACAATGATCCGACACAAGATTGAGACAGGACAGGGCTTAAATACACAGACAACAATTACAAAACAGAAAACACCTGAGGAGAAACAGGAGGATCAGGTGTGAGTGGGTGGGGCTGGAGCAAGGGCAAGACAGGAGGAAGGAAACATGAACATGACAGAAACTAAAAATAAAAACACTTAACACAGACAAAAATCATAACATCAATATATCAAATAAATTATTAATGATTCAATTACAGCAAGGTAAAACAGAAACATTGGGCCTCATGCAAGAACATGTTCGTATTCTT